TATTCTTGCGAGCATTGTGATGAGCATTTTCATTCCATAAAATGCGAGATATTTCTTGACTATATGAAAGACTGTTAGCTTTCCAAGTAAATCTCCGTTACTGGATCTGAACACATTATACTTCTTTTGGCTTGTTTTGGACTTCATCCATCGTCTGGTATATAAAAGACAAAAGACCACAACGTTTCGGAGACTGGATCTGTCTCCGTCTTCAGGTGGATGGGGAAGAATAAACCTACTCAGTTGGGCTCGTTAGAAAGAGTTAGTCTCAATCAGTCTTTCCTCTTTTACATACCAGACGATGGATGAAGTCCAAAACAAGCCAAAAGAAGTACAGTATACACCATCATCAGAATCCTTTCAAGTCTATCTGAATACATTAGATTAGTGCTGAGGTGTCAGCTACAACTTGTTCTTCAGGTATGTCTTTATCAATAGATTTGACCCACTTTCGTAAAATTTCTCAACCTTCTGGACTGAAGTCCTTGTCCCAGAAGCACAGACTCTATGCAGTGGTAGAACTGTCGCGCTTTTAAATCCTTCATGTGGCGTATTTGGAAAATCGCAAAGCAGTAAGGTAGTCTGCCAGACTGGACGCACTGGAATCACCAGTCTCGCTCGGAGTTACGTAATGTAGGCATACTGGTTGTGCCTTTTGCGATTTCAGGTTTGGTCATGGACCAAGCACATGGCATATAAATTACGTAACCTCAGCACGTAATGATTCTTCTTAAAAAGAATAAAAACATATGGAAGCTGTAGCTGTGCTTAAGTTGAATCGAGAAGTTGCCTTTTTGCATAACTGTCACAAAAAGATCGTGCTACCCGTTGGCGAAATAGTGCGCTATCCCATTCGTTGAAATGGTAATCTACAATCAATTCTCTAGCTACCTTGCAATATGAAGAACTACAGCGTAAGCAGAAGGTGATATAAACCAGTTCAACATCTTTCACTTATTAGTTACCATTTTCGAAGATTCAGAGATGGTAAAGTTTGTCCTCAATTACAATGAAAACAAGTTATGTGAAATCAATTTGTCTCGTGCGTGAGTGTTATGGCTTGCTGATAGAGAACGCACGAGAATGCTGATCTAAATGGAATTTATACTATGAACAGATAACATGAATACACAGAGTAATGTAATTTTAACATGAAACGCTATCTATGAAGTAAGTATTAAATATGAATTTAAATACTCGTAATTCTCCTCATAATTAAAGATATCTTAATTGAAATTAAAATCCACAGGCTACATTATTATAATATCGAAATATACAACGCAGGATATTAGATATTATTTGAGAATTTATTTCTAACCCTATTTTATATAGAAGTCGAAATGAATACAAGATTGTGAAAGTATACAGTGTACACCCAACAGGCGGTTCTACAGGAGAAACTGTAAATGCCTCAAAGTCGTATTTTTATAAAGAACTACACTAACACAATAAAGCATATGTTATTTTGACCCAATCTGGAAGTAAACAAGGTTTTCTCTTTACTTAATTCCAATACCTTACGTAAATATTTATAGCATTTTTTCCGTATAGGTCGGCTTATAACACTGAAGAAGGAAGTACCTCTGAAGAACGATAAATTATATTTTAAATTTCTGTTTTTATGCATTTAGTACTATAAATTCAAGCGGGAGGAAATTCCCTTTAATTAAATTATTATGAATAAGAGACTTCGTTAGTCTTCATATGTGTTCGGAAGATCACTGTTGGTTGTTGAATATAGCCGGAAATCTATGGAAAGTGTCCCTTTGTTTAATCAGCTTCAAAGCTGTTGACCACCAGTTACGTTGGAAGGATGAGCATGGGCTTCCAATATCAAATTTGATCAACATTAGTCCAACCGTTCTAGAGTTACGACTAATATAAAGTACTGGCAAATAACTAACTAACTGACTCCATTGAGCTTAGTCTTTCTTGATATGCCGTCAGTCGCTTAGCTATTCAAAAATTTCCCAATATTTTATGGAACCTGATGGTTCATTATAGTGTTCACAATAGCCCTCCACTGGTCCCTATCCCGAACCACATGAATCTAGTCCATACCACTCCATCCTATTTCTCTGAGATCCATCTTCGCATTATCCTCCCACATACGTCTAGGTCTTCCTAGTGGTCTCTTTCCTTCCGGCTTTCCCACCAAATCCTGACATGCATTCCTCTTTGCCACCATGCCCTGCCAGTCTCATCGTCATTCACTTGATCGTTCTAATTATATCTTATGGAAAGTACAAATTATGAACTCGTCTTACGACACAGCATAAACATTTATTTTGTTTGTTAGTCTCGAAAACTGCAGAACTTAAGGAATAGTCTTTGACAAATTATTTCTCATTGCACGTTTCGCTTCTGTTAATATTTAGCGATTTACGATCGACACGTATGCATAAACGCAAGTAAGTCTTCATGTCAACTGTCAGGTATTGTTATCTAATTGAAATCAAATCCTAGATGAAATTTATCACACAATATTTCAAGAAACTGGGCGGCTCTCGAGGTTTTACATGCAGAGGGACAGATGTACACGGCGAAATTAATTAGCGCATTTTTTGTAACTTCTAGTTTTGAACGCGCCAGACACGATTGCGTGCAAAGCGGTCCATTTCAAGCTATCGCGGAATTTGCCTACGACAATAGAAGAAAACCTCCGTTAAGTTAGCAGTGCTTTCTCGTTCGAAACTCGAACCAATACCTACCAAAAGAGAGTGAGCTCGATCTGTTGTGAGAGGGCCTGATGAAACTCACGATAGCCTCAGAATAGCTGGCTTCTAGGCTGTTAGAATCGTTATTTTCCCACTGTAAGTCAGGCCCATTGTCGCTAAGCTAACCATCCAGTGTATTTTGCTGTGAGAGTTGACGCGAATGAGAAATTCTGAATTAATGGAAATGAAGAAATGCACTCCTCGACCACGAAGCTACGATGAAACTTGGGTTAGTCACGTGGTTCATCACGTAAACGCGATAGCCATAGTCATTGACGACTAAATCTGACACATAAACCTAAAGACTTCCTACATAAGAACTTCGTACTATGTAACAACTGGAGGTCAAAGTACACACAGAATAAATAAGACAACGATGCGTGTTGAACACAATTGCACCGAATTCTTCGACGTTCTTTCGCGTCAGCTCAGCAGGTCAGAGATGCTTGCGTGTGATACTCTGCATAAAACGATGAACTGCTACATCGACCTGGGTTTAAATTCGCTGACAAGAGCAAATAACCTTTGCATAGTGTGTATCTGGCACCTGTATGGCTACGAAGTAATTTTACAATGGAGAAAACTTCAGCCTTTCATGTCTGATTCAGTTTCTGTTATTATACCAGTCCAATGCTTGACAACTTTCATTGTTTGAAGTATATTTCATATATACTATATTTCGGAAGCTAGATCTGCTTCCATCTTCGGGGATTTGTTGTAAATATGCTGACAGATTTTGTACTGCTTTTAATATCGGCGGTTGGGATCGAGCTCGAGACTTTTTGAATACCAGGAATAAGAAGTTCTGTGTTGTGGGATATAACGCCGTGTAGTTCGTTGAAAGTCAGCTGACGTTTCGGAGGAACATACCGCCGACAAGTTCCTCCGAAAAATTAGATTGACTTTCAACAGACTACACGGCGTTATAACCCGGAAGATAGAAGTCTTCATAACTACCGCTGAGAGCAAATCCTACATAGGAATGGAAAGCCTGTTAACATATCGACAATGAATTTCCCGAGGAGGTAAGTAGAGTCACTTCCTAAAACGTCGTGTAGGCCTGTAAGAAATATTGCTCTAAATATGAAAATTTGAGTCGTGTATAATTTGGTTTTGTAGAATAAGGGCCGTTGAATGTAAAAGTTTTTTAAACGTTTAGTCAAACTTTGCAGTTTCCATCCCTCATGACTAGGGCAAAGGGCTACCAAGGAAACTGGCAACCGCAACGCAACCGCGATTTCTGGGAAATATCGCCGATTTCAAGCAGGCAACCTGTTTCCAGATTAGCAGGCGCACGCTGAGGAAACTCATGTTTGATTAATAGCTCACATCATCTTACGTGGGTATGTTCGTTCGACATAATGCATGCTTGAATTTTTTAATTTCGTGCACTTACCTTCTGCAATGGAAGATAATAATATTGATCCTGTCATAATATGGTGATAGTTGAGACCGGTTGAGACGGCGTGAGGAGACCATAAGGAAAATATTTGGATGTTAATTAATTTGTTTTAATTAAGGTCAATTTATTTTAATCAGGAAATATTGCGCTCACACGCGATACGAAATTTTGACATACAGTGTAACAATTTTAGGAAGATAGAAGACTACAGATGATGGCCGTATATAGGCGAACCATGTAATGTGGAAGAAGGGTGACTACATAATAAGTTGTATTTAAGACGGAACTATATGTGAAATAAATTATATATTAATGCAACAGGATGCTTAAATACAATATTAGGAAAAGAGAACATTGGGTGCATCCGTTCTTCTGGAACAATTGGAATTAAGGCTCTTATATTGTTTCGAAAGAACTTAGCCTGGATCCAGACTCCTTCGTCTCACGAGAAATTCTTTCCCATGCCAAATCTATTTTGTCCTGCCTAACATAGACTGCATAACATTTGTCGTATTTACCAGGCTCTTGCCCCATTAACCGCACAAAAACGAAATTAGCAGCTTCGTCAACTTTTCGTGCCATGAAATGAATCAATGAATCACGCGCGTTATACAACAGCTGACACAAGGAAACCATGCGACAACGCAGTTGTGAGAAGACTGGCATGCTGTGTAACAAATTGAGTTTCTCAGTCTTCCCGCGAGTTGCGTTACCGTTTCCTCAATTGGCGCTGCTCCATTCAGAAACATGTGTACAGCTCACGCTGATAACAATTCTCGGAAATCGTGGTTGCGTTGCGGTTTACAGTTTCCTTGCTGTGTCCCCCGGCCAAACACGTAGATACGTATCTCTATATGCCCTATACCTGTATGGTTTACAACTAAACAGTGGTACCAGTACAGTAGTTGGTAATCTGTGATCTCTGTGATGTTCGAAACATGTGTTGGTGGGAACGAAATGTTATGATATTTTCACCAAATGGCTGTCATATACTTGATATTCTTGTTCAGCCTTACAGAATAAGCAATAAACAATAAAGTAGTATGTATCTAACATTTGTCTCATGCATGAAAATCGTAATGTGTAGCGTATTAGGATCAAGAAATCAAACTAGTAACTTATAACTTCCTGGATTCTAGTAATTTATAAAATCAAGTTTTCTGCGGAACATGTGATTTGAAATTGGATCGGGACTTTGAAACTGCAATAGTACAATCATACAGAACCATTGTGTTACATTAAAATATAATAACGAAGGTCAATGCCAAGTGAAGGCACTGGCTGCGCGGCGTTGTATTGTCTAAGCAACTTTCGAAATGTGGACAAGCTTATCTATACCAATGTTGTCACCATTCTTACCGTAAATATAACGGAATGAGACAAAAGTTACGATGAGGGTTATTAAACACAACAGATACCATGTGATCAGTTCTAAAACTATTATTGATAATTTACACATAAAAATATCCTAGCAAGCATCCCATTTGGTAGGTAGCATTATTCTTGAAGACTTGAAAATACATTACGCAGTAAATATATAGAGCATGGGGCTGATTCCATGCCACATTACTTGATATGCCTGTAAATATTACTATATTATTAAAAAACTCCTTACCGTCTGCTTTTTGATGATTTGTTGCTTGGCTTACTCTTTGATCCTGAAATGAAAGGGTATATTCCTCCAAAACGCTGATTGACAACGCTTTTCTTTAAAATATGAGTTTCAGATTTGAAGTGTTCATCAGAGTGCGGTCTTTTCAGTTACAACGTCTTGTAGTCTTGTAAGCAATTACAAATGCTTTTGAGGATCCTGCTACCTCCATCATCAGGGCATATAGACAGGATGTCTAGTATCAGTGGGAGACATGAGAAATGTGTATAGAATTCATATGAATAAACCCCCATGAAAGCAACCACTTACAAGTCAGATAGGATAGCATTATTAAAAGAGAGCTGCAATACATATTTTGATACTGCGGATTGGAATAGATCAGATTGGATTTTTATGTTTGAATGTTCAGATCCTTTTACTATATAGTCAGATACTATGTATTCCAAGAAGAGGAAATTTTTAGGTGCAGTTACTTGAATGTTAAACATTATAATAATTTTAGGCCTCATTGTAGTGTTTGCAAATTTTGAGTATTTGCAGGTTGTGGACTTTGATATAAAATGAGGTTAACAGCAGTACTGTGTAAGCAACACATTGAACGTATGTTCAAGAAACATTGGAGGCTTCAGAAAACACGAGTTCCATATCCTACTGAAGCAGAAAGTGAAATGGAAGCCAGAGGTATACCAATTTATGAGCCAAATGACATTATAGAAGAAAGGCGTGAATTTGTGAAGTAAGTAATGTAATGTTTTGAGCTTATTTTGATTTTGTGTTAAATGTGCTGTGTATAATGATCTTGCATAGAAACTGGGGCAGTGTCAATAAATATAAAACAGCAGAAAATATTGATAATACATTGATACAATTATGATAAATTTAAACTTAAAGGTGTATTGTAAACATGTATTTGCTTTTGAATTCATATCTTGAATTTGATTGCATGTTTTATTTCAGGGCCATTCTGGTCTCTAATGCCAAGTTGTCCTTTGTTGCATGTACATACCTCAAGAGCTCTCTCTTGTTCTTAACTATAATAGTGATAAATATACATCTTTTGTTTGTGAAAATTTGTTCTTTCACAAACAGCAGTTTGGGGTTTACAAATCTCTGATTCCAAACCAGAACAAAATTTGACATGTTTAAATGCCAGGCACAGTTATTTGAGTCCTGATTGAAACATATGGAGAAAGAATCAGGAGACTAAGATGAGACAGTATCCTACAAGCTGGAAGGTTGCAGGTTTGATTCCTGATGAGGTCATTTGATTTTTCAATTGACCTAATAATTCCAGCTGCACTCTAGCCCTAGGAGTGACTCAGCCTCTAACAGAAATGAGTGCCAGGAAACTTCCCGGGGGAAAAGGGCAGCAGGCACATAAGACTGACAACCTCACAGCCATCTGTAAGACGATTGTGTAGAAAATGTGGGATCCTTGACATGTGATGACTCCATGGGCCTCCACCATGTGTTACAGGGATACCTTTACCTTTTTACTTAAGATACTGTACTTAAAGGGATGGGAGGATGGTACATTTCAGACAGGGCCTTCAGCACATACACATTTCGCTGTACTAGCTGGTGCAGATGGCATATCTCTAAACTTTTATCTTTGTAATTGCTACAGAGAACAGAAGAAAAGACATAGGGAGCCATATATGGTGAGTATGGAGGCTGTCACACTTGTGGTACACTGTATGTTGCCAAACAGTTGCACACAAGCCTATCTAAGTAGTTAGGTGCATTGTCACGGTGAATCTGCCTCTCATTTACCACACACTGCAACAGGGAGATATCACAGCATTTGAATATAGAATTATTGGTTTAATAACTTAACTCTATGCAACATTCTCAGGCATTCAACCCCCGTGCAGTTGAACAAAACGCTCATCCTTGATTTGGTTTTGCTGCACCTTTGATGTGCTTTTCTTGCTGTCTGTGAGGAGGTTTGTGTGAAAAGTTGAGAAGTAAAACACTTCTATACCACTGTTTAAATGTATGTAAATGTGTGTACTGTTATTGTCCTACAGCGTTCCTAATTAGAGCCTGATTGCTCAGTCCATATAGGTACTGGTTGGATGGCCGGGGTTCAATTTATATCAGGGGCAAGAGATTTTTCTCTTCTCCATGGCATCCAGACCATCTCTGAGGCCCTCCCAGCCTCCTATCCAATGGGTACCAGGGGCTTTTTCCCTTGGGGGGGCTAAAGTGGAAGAGGCATGAAGCTGACCACTCACCTCCCTTTAGTGCCAGCTTCAAGAATGGTGGAGCTATACCTCCACTCCCTGATACGTCTTCATGGCATAGCCCTTAATTAATTAAGCACAGAGACAACTGTAACTTTTTTCTAATTTTTACAGTGTTTGTAATTATGTGGTTAGATGCAGTTCTAATATGACTGAGTTATGGAATATTGATGATGATGATGATGATGATGATTATTATTATTATTATAATCATTATATTGTTACTTTTTAGGGTGGAAGTAAAACGTCATGAACCTAGGCCAATACCACGTGATCATACGCATCCATTTTATCATGAAAGAATCTGCCATATGTATAGAGATCATAATGTTCTTTTGAAAGGTCTGGACCAAGCAAAGATTCTAACTAAAACAGTGGAAATTAAAACTGGTTTACCTGTCGAGATAGAAAACTTAGTGGGATCGCAGTGTTTACCAGATCAAGATGCATTGGTTCAGAGGTTAGTGACTTATACAGACATTACTTAAATTTACCACAGGAAGAGGTTTTCATCTGCTTCACACCATTTAAACCCTGATGCGTATCTTATCATTTGCCTGACATATTTATAGGTAAGTCTTATTTATTCTTAACAATTTTATACTGAGTAGTTGAAATGAGCACATAATATGCAGATTGTAGGCCATCTTAACATATTGAGGACTGGTCGCATATCATGCTTTTGGCTTTTAAACGTGGCAGACCAGTCGCACGATATCATGATTTTAGGACACATTAGGTTGTAACACAATGTACCTTGCTCTGGCGCCACCCAAGTTGCACACAGTGGCGTAATAAAACTCTGGAATGTTTGCTTGCTTGTCAGTAACTTGACCTCGTAGGGAGGGAAGACATTTTCAAACCAACAATTGGGAATGAGAGTTTACATGAAATTAGTAATGATAATGGAGTTAGAGTAGTAAACTTTGCCACATCAAAAAATCTTACTGTCAAAAGTACAATGTTCCCGCATCGTAACATCCATAAATTTACTTGGACATCTCCTGATGGGAAGATACACAGTCAAATATACCATATTTTGATAGATAGGAGATGGCACTCAAGAATACTTGATGTCTGATCATTCAGGGCAGCAGATTGTGATAGTGACCACAACTTGGTGGTGGCAAAGGTTAGGGAAAGACTGGCAGTGAGCAAACAAACAACACACAGCAGACTGTCTGCTTTTACCGGTTCTCACGGTCTCTTCGCTTGCAGATTTCTTATATTTTTTCTTCTACCCTGAAGATGGAGGCGATGCGTTCCTCCGAAACGTCGGTTAACACCACATATACACGGTGCCAAATCCCAGAAGACTGCTATCTTCATAGTCACCGCCGTGAAAGCCTCAAATCTTACAACACACAGAGTTCATATTGAGAGGTTCAATCTCAAGAAATTAAATGAGGTAGAGGGTAAAGAGCAGTATTGTGTTGAAATCTCAAATAGGTTGCGGCTTTGGAAAACTTGGACACCGAGGTGGATGTTAATAAAACATGGGAAACTATTAGAATATAAAAATGTCTGCCAAAGAGAGTCTAGGTTATTATGAACTGAAGAAGCATAAGCCATGGTTTGATGAAGGATGCTCAAAATTATTCAATCAAAGAAAGCAGGCCAAATCGCAATGGTTACAGGATCCGAGCGAGTTAAATGGGGTTAATCTGAACAATATAAGACGTGAAACCAGCGGGCATTTCAGGAACAAAAAGAAGGAATGTCTGAAAGACAAAATTTATGAGCCTGCAATGAATAGTAAGAACAAGAATATTAGAGACCTGTATAGAGGAACAGATGACTTTAAGAGGGGTTACCAGCCTAGCATGAACTTAGTGAAGGATCAGAACGGTGATCTGCTTGCAGATTGCCACAACATTTTTAATAGGTGGAGGAACTACTTCTCTCAGTTATTGAATGTACATAAAGTCAGTGATGTTAGGAAGACAGAAATTGATACAGCTGAGCCGTTAATACCTGATCCTAGCCCTTTTGAGGTTGAAAGTGCTATTGAAAATTGAAACGGTATAAATCGCCAGGTAGTGATCAAATTCTGGCAGAACTTATTCAAGCAGGAGGCGAAATATTATGTTCTAAGATCCCCAATCTAATTACTTCTATTTGGCACAAGGAAAAATTGCCTGATCAGTGGAAGGAGTCTATTATTGTACCAGTTCACAAGAAGGGTGATAAAACTGCCTGTAGTAATTATTGGGGGATATCACTGCTATCAACTTCATGTAAAATTTTGTCCAATATTCTTTCAAGGTTAAGTCTATATATAGATGAAATTATTGGGGATCATCAGTGTGGGTTTCGATGTAACAGATCAACTACAGATCAGATCTTTTACATTCGTTAGATATTGGAGAACAAATGAGAGTACGATGAGACAGTACATCAGCTATTCATAGACTTCAAGAAAGCCTACGATTCAGTTAGGAGGGAAGTATTGTACAATATTCTGCTAGCGTTTGGGATACCCATGAAGCTAGTTAGGTTGATTAAAATGTGTTTAAACGAAACGTATAGTAAAGTCCGCGTAGGTAATCATTTGTGTGATAAATTTCCTATCCAGAATGGTCTAAAACAAGGAGATGCTTTATCGCCACTCCTTTTCAACTTTGCCTTAGAATATGCAATTAGGAAGGTCCAGGGAAACCAGGTGGGACTGAAACTAAACGGGACACATCAGCTGTTGGTCTACGCCGATGATGTGAATCTACTGGGTGATAATATAGATACCATAAGGAAAACACACAAACTTTAATTGACGAAAGTAAAGAGGTTGGTCTAGAAGTAAACACAGAGAAAACTAAGTATATGTTACTGTCTCATCACCAAAATGCAGGGCAAAATCATGACATAAAGATAGGAAACAGATGTTTTGAAAATGTGGCACAGTTCAGATATTTGGGAACAACGATAACAGATCGAAACCTGATTCAGGAGGAAATTAAGAGGCGATTGAACTCGGGTAATGCTTGCTACCATTCAGTCCAGAACATTTTGTTTTGTCGTCTGTTGTCCAAAAACATTAAAATTAGAATATACAAAACTATAATTTTTTTTGCCTGTGGTTCTCTATGGGTGTGAACCTTGGTCTCTGACAGTAAGGGAGGAATATAAACTGAGGATGTTTGAGAACGGTCTTGAGAATATTTGGACCAAAGAGAGATGAAGTGACAGGAGGTTGGAGAAAACTGCATAATGAGGAGCTTCATAAGTTGTACTCTTCTCCAAGTATAATCAGAATGATCAAGTCAAGGAGGATGAGGTTGGCAGGTCATGTAGCACGAATTCAGGAGACAAATACGTATAGGATATTGGTGGGAAAGCCAGAAGGAAAGAGATCACAGGGAAGACCAAGGGGTAGGTGTGTGGACAATATTAGAATGCATCTTAGAGAGAGAGAGGATGGTATGGATTGGATAGATCTGGCTCAGGATAGGGACTGGTGGAGTGCTCTTGTGAACACGGTTATGAACCTTCGGGTTCCATAAAATGCTTGGAACTTCTTGAGTAGCTGCAGAATTTGCTGCTCCTCCAGAAGGGCTCAGCTCCATGAGTGAGTAAGTAAGTAAGTAAGTAAAATTAATTAGATTTATGTTAATTTTTAGAGCGAACAGCGCAGAAGTTAGGATAGTAGGTTTAATAATGGCGGCCCCAGGGTGATTTAAATATTTAAATCGCCGGTCCACAATGTGTTAATACAGCTTATTTTTATGTAATATATCTGTGTTTTTGGTGAGCTATCTTTTTATAAGAAAGGTACACGTATATTTGTTTGGGATTTCATATAAAGTATTCTGTATGATATGAACACATATTTCAATTGTTGATGTAGACTAATAATACCATATTTCATGAAAATCTATTCTGTAGGTTCAGAGATGAAATATGCTGACGTATTTTTTCTCTGGGCTGATATGGACAGTGGGAAGAAGATTTTATGTCTATGAAGAAAGCAGTCTTCTGGGATTTGGCACCATGTATATATGGTGTTAACTGACATTTCAGAGGAACGTAACCGGTTCTCACGGTCTCTTCGCTTGCAGATTTCTTATATTTTTTCTTTACCCTGAAGATGGAGGCGACACGTTCCTCCGAACCGTCGGTTAACACCATATATACACGGTGCCAAATCCCAGAAGACTGCTTTCTTCGTAGTCACCGCCGTGAAAGCCTCAAATCTTACATGTTTATGTCTACTTTATATAATACAGTATATCTTCAAGTTAATCACAAATAATATTCATTTATGCAGGTTCTTATTTTTGTTACAAATGAATGCTACATGTGTTGTCGGATATCTTATATGAGGAGTCTTGTTTAGAATTGTATTTCGTCTGACAGACATCTGGCAAATGTGCAGGAAGGCACAATAAGCAGTGTCAGGAAGTGTTGGTATTACAAGGTTTTAGCCTGTATGAATGAGGTAATGGTTGAGAAGTCTTTTGAAGGTGTTGTATGTTTTGAATAATGGTTATTCCTTGGTAAACTTTATATTGTTTGTTGAGCTTCGTAGTAATGTAACCTGATGTTCAAAATAGGTGCATAATGAAGGCTCATGTATTTGATGCAATGCAAGTGAAATTACCAAAAATCCATGACCCACAAAGGCCAGCGTGGAATTTTCCAAGAGTATATGGGATTACTGACAAGAGAAGAAAGTGAGTTTCTTGTTTATCTGTATTTTCTTAATGAAAGCTTGTTGTTATAGAATTTCTAAGTTGTGTTCAAATTCTGTGGATTGTTATATAAAAGTTTCTGCTGTAGTTCTTCCATACCATATCATTCCAATTCCCTTTTAACCAGTTTTTATTAAAATTTTGCTGAATATTGGTTCATCTGTCTCCATGTAGAATGCAAGTTGATGTCAGCATTTCTTTCTTCAGATATGTAAGAAGTCTTGAATGTGCATATATATTTCCTTAGAATTGGAAGAAACGTCTAAGATTCTTTTGGTTTTGCCAGGGGCAGTTTGTTATATTTTATCTGTATGGAGTTTTGGGCTGTCATATTTTCATGTAAATGATATAGGGCCTTAGACCAAGGGGATATTAGTTCATTGTCTTTCACAGTGGACTTAACCAGTGGAAATTAATTACTCTGAATTGGAAGCCATTTCAAGTGCATCTCTCTAAAGATTATATACTTCTGATTCATGTGGAGAGCATAGCACTTCAGAGTAGCATGGCAGTCAGCACCTGTTTGGCTTCAGCTGGTATGGAATTTATAATTTGAGATATTTTACAAAACGATAATTTGTACATTATTGTCAGTGCAACATCTTAGTTATCTCAGGAAGTAAATTAAATCTCCATATTTTGCATTGTTTAATTACTTACTTACTTACTCATGGAGCTGAGCCCTTCTAGAGGAGCTCCCAGTTCTGCAGCTACTCAAGAATTTCCCAGCATTTTATGGCACTTCCTTATATTTCCTTAGAATTGGAAGAAACGTCTAAGATTCTTTTGGTTTTGCCAGGGGCAGTTTGTTATATTTTATCTGTATGGAGTTTTGGGCTGTCATATTTTCATGTAAATGATATAGGGCCTTAGACCAAGGGGATATTAGTTCATTGTCTTTCACAGTGGACTTAACCAGTGGAAATTAATTACTCTGAATTGGAAGCCATTTCAAGTGCATCTCTCTAAAGATTATATACTTCTGATTCATGTGGAGAGCATAGCACTTCAGAGTAGCATGGCAGTCAGCACCTGTTTGGCTTCAGCTGGTATGGAATTTATAATTTGAGATATTTTACAAAACGATAATTTGTACATTATTGTCAGTGCAACATCTTAGTTATCTCAGGAAGTAAATTAAATCTCCATATTTTGCATTGTTTAATTACTTACTTACTTACTCATGGAGCTGAGCCCTTCTAGAGGAGCTCCCAGTTCTGCAGCTACTCAAGAATTTCCCAGC